TAAGTTATATCCTAAATATCACTCAGTAAGTAATGCTGATGATGGTCTGAGACAATTCAACGTGTCACTGTGACACGTTGAATTGACACTGTCACAAGACTCATGAGTTAGCTAGTTCTGTTACGAAAGGGAAGGCTTTGGACCATAGCTTAGTCCATCATATTGAAGTCAAGCCGGACATCCTTGCGACATCTCCGTACAGCGTGCATCGTCTCGAAAGTCACATCCAAGTCGGATCCTTGAGCTTGAGAGTAGTTCATTGGCCTTACGAGGATATCCACGAGGAGTCCACGAAAAGTAACAGAAATCCTGAGCGACTTACACCCCACCTCCACATAAGTGAGGCTGCATGCGCTTTCAGCATCCAAGAGTTGACGCTTCGTCCAAGAATCGAAATCGAAGCTGCGAGGCACACTATTTCCAAGCATAAGGGATGTCAAATTCCTCAAGTAGTCCGTAGGCAAGAGATCAAACTTCGAGTGATTCGAAGAATAGCCCAAGAGTTCACAGAGTTCGCCCATGAGGCACAGAGTTCGCAGAGCTGGACAAAAGTCTGAAATGGAAAGGTGACGAGTGACCGTCACTCGCCTCCAACAGTCACTCAATGACTGTTAGAGGCTAGCCGCTACCGATCAAGAATCTTCGATACTGAAAACCATTAAGGGCCCGACTAAATACCGGCGCGTCCCTGTCCAAGGTTCAGGACCTGAACTTCAGGTGACCTGAACCATACATCGATGTGGGTTGGACTTGAATCAGGTCCAATCCACATCGATGTATGAGCAGATGCTTCAACCCTCGGTCTCCCGCGATGATTACCATCTGATGATCAGATTCTGATCCATACTGACGAGAGCTCTGAAGCTTGTGAGTACTCGATTTGAAACAGCAACGTCATCTCCGAGACGCGATCCAGGGAAGAAAACTCACTCTCATATATGATGATTCCGAATTTGCCTCTGGACTCCAGAGTCTGGAGAAAAGCTCGAGCACTCGTCAGTCTCTCAGCAAGTAGTAAGACCGCTTCGATGACTTCAGATGATGAATGATAGGCATCGTTCTCAGGAGCTGGGAATGATACTCTAAGGTGAAACATGTGGATATTGCCAATAGGACAGCACTGCTGACTGTCAATTCTCACCTCAGGGACGTGAGCTTGCGAGGAGGAAGCCTGCTGAGCTTGTGGAAATCTACGTGAGTGTAGGAGAACATATCATTGATATGTTCTGATTACAGTACACAAACCGTTTCCATCTAGTTGAACTAGATGGAAACGGTTTGTGTACTGTAACTAGGCTAGTTCACGAAAATGCTTGCTCACGGCATACGACACAGTACAGGTTTGAGCAAAACCTTCGGGGAGCTCAGTCTACCGAAGATACCTAAAGAGGAATCATGAAATGTCACTATACAGAGCAAAAAGCCCAAGCATATGCAGATTCTTCTCTACTTGGCAATGAGCATGAGTGCGTCTTCTGTAAGCTCAGCGGACCCCACTAACTTAGAGTCAGAATTGGAACAGCGGGGATCTGCGGCCTTGTTCTTGACAGCTGAGGACCTTATCTTGGTGAGGTGATAACTGACTCTCGGTGGGGTATTCGATAGTTCAGTTGAGACTACTAACTCAAAAACTGCCAATGACTACTGATAAAGCGATTAAAAAGTCACTGTATTCTATAACCTACGTTACTTGCCTTTACCTATGAGTATCTGAGACCTCCAGGCTGATCAGAATCGCACTACTAGTTAATTATACTCACATCTTTAGCCTCATTAATCTTGGTCGCAATGAACGTACTACCGCCCTTATCAGGATGGTTGGCTAAAAGCAGCTCACGATGCGCCTGAGAAGACCTCCACTCGAATGCCTCATAAAGGGAGCCCCTTGGCTCCATGCGAGCATGCTACACTACCTTCCGAACGTTCTCCTTCGAGGCTCGAGCAAGGCTGAGGTTGAGTACTTTGCAGGCTTCCCCCTAAAGCGAACGGCGAGATTGGGAGTCAGCCCGAGATACAAAGAGGAAGGCGTGATCAGTTGGCCAGCACACAGTCGGCCGCTTCACCACGGAAAATCCAGCTGATACGGTTGACTGCTCAGCGCAATCTCCTACTCGAGACATCTTCGACTCGAACCCTTCTAAGCCCCTAAGAGATCGGAGGGCGGCCCAGGGCAATTTTGGAAGCATGATGTTCGAGGTAGCGGCCCATTTTAAACCTAAACCACTCAGAATTGGAGTTCTGTAAACAGAGGACTATTCACCTTGCCGGACGGCCAATGCCCCCACACCGAGGGCAAACAGCTGACCAAGCATTATGGGATGAGGGAAACGAGTAGCACTGGATGAGAGGAAGAACTACGGTAAACGCAATATGCTGTGGCGGGAGCGGAATATAACAACCAAATCAAACATCCCAAAGGAGACTGTGTTACTGTATCACACATGACGTATCCTTAGTGAGGATTCCTCACAGCCAACGAGTTTCCTACTCATGGCATTATCCTCTGACAGTTCTTTGATGTCGGAATAGAGGGCGGCAACGGTTGTCACCGCGAGAGTCACATGAAAGATGATGATTCATAACGGTTGAACAAGAGGCTTGCTAACGGGGCCTGCATCGGAGTACCACGGGCGGAAGAACCTTGGACGATACCGTTAGCGACCTGCTTTGTAATCACAAATGTTAGGTGGTGGAGATTCAGACTAACGGTCAGATCAACGTCACAAAATCCGGCATAAGCCAGTATCTAGAAGTCCGATTCTGAAGCGGAGATCCGTGCTGGATTAAGACTGCCTCTTGGAATGGCTGTTCTTGATCCATGTTTAACAATTTCCCGAAGACCATTGTCGCAATACTATTGCGATATCGGCCTTGAACACATAGTGCACTATCGCTTCCCAGGCCTCCTGAGCGGAACCAGCTATGATGAAGGGGACCCAGCACTGGCCTCGCGAAGACAGCCCATCAGTGAGGCGGACAGTAGACGTGAGTCGAAGCAGTCCGCCCAACTCGACGGTGTAGAGACGACACTTCACGACCAAGAAAAGCCTACCTCAGCAGCAACATCCCGCAGGCCCACCCCATGCATAGACATCATGCCGCCAATTACACTCACCACGATGCACTTGTGTCACGAAAAACATTCTGGTCTGATACAGCCATGATACCTCGTCTTATGACCTCCCTCAACACATCTGTCAATGAAGAGAAACAAACTGAAGAATTTTGGATCTTGCTCTCTTGAGCACCTTTCACTTACTCCTTGCGGTAACAGGCCATTCAAGATAGTTCGCGGTTGTGTTGGATTTACACCTTTTCCCGTGCGGGTTTGACTATGTTTAGTGTCACATCCAAAACTGACAATACGTGTTCATGTTTGACACAAACGAGAAATATCGGGCGCTAGACAATATGCATTCATCTTTGACACGATCCAGCCACTTTTGTACCAATCCATTTTTGAACCAATCCAAGTAGCGCCCGCCCCCCTTTAAAAAGCTGTAGGGATCGCGCCCTACGCGCTCGCCCTTGTAATCGTTATCGTCTGATCACTTATATTCGCTCGCCATCGATCGCGCTATGCACGTATGCGCACTGTGTGCTCATGAACTTAGGATAAGTAGAGTTACAACCCCTTTTTGATCCATGGCTCAAAGTCGGACGAGTCGAGCTGCAGGGCTCGACTCGACTCGACATTTCTCCGCCACCGGGCTCGACCGAGTTCGACTCGTCGAAAATCAGACGAGCCTCGACTCGACTCGCCGGACTCGACATGCCGGAAGGTGGTCAATACCATTGACTCAATACTATTGAGTCAATAGGTACTAACTGTGACTAATGTCAACTAGGTTCAACCAGGTCTATGGAAGTCTTCCATTGGAAGACTTTAGCTGTCAGGTACGCATCTGTGAATGAACGTTATGTTCACAGACTGTGAGCATAACGTTCACAGATACCGTTAAATTTGAACGGTTCAAACTTGCAATGTTCGAATATCGAAAGGTTCGCTGAGATTTGATTCCATTTATCCAAGGAAACACTCTTGAATCAAGAGCCTTGATTATCGACACATTCATTCCGAGCTTCATGTGTATTTAACTGCCATTCAAAACATATGAATGTTCCGAGTTATGCTAGACCACCGAGGATTCTCTCCCCCATAATCTGAGAAAGACACCACAAGTCTGTCGCTAGACACGCTGTCAGCGTGTGAGTGCCTAGCGACTCAGCCACTCAGCGTGACACTGAGTGCCTAGCATGACGCTAATAGTTCGATAGTCGAGCAGCCCGACTTCTCCGATACAGTTCAAGCATACACCCAGATCTTGTGAACTACAGAGTGGGGGAGCGTGGACGGAATTTGACCGTCAATGTCAGCGATTGCTGAACTTCGGCGTCTCGAATATCATATCCGTGGCTATTCTGATACAGTACAAGTATACCCCCAGATTCTGTGAACTAAAGAATTGAGGAGCATGGACGGAATTTGACCGTCAGTGTCAGCAATTGCTGAACTTCGGTGTCTCGAATATCATATCCGTGGCTAATCTGATACAGTTCAAGTATACACTCACATTCTGTGAACGATAGAATGGGAGAGCGTGGACGGAATTTGACCGTCAATGTCAACGGTTGCTGAACTTTGGTGTCTCGAATATCATATCCGTGGCTATTCTGATACAGTTCAAGTATACATCCAGATTCTGTGAACGATAGAATGGGGGAGCGTGGACGGAATTTGACCGTCAGTGTCAGCGATTGCTGAACTTCGGTGTCTCGAATATCATATCCGTGGCTAATCTGATACAGTTCAAGTATACACCCACATTCTGTGAACGATAGAATGGGAGAGCGTGGACGGAATTTGACCGTCAATGTCAACGGTTGCTGAACTTTGGTGTCTCGAATATCATATCCGTGGCTATTCTGATACAGTTCAAGCATACTCCCAGATTCTGTGAACGATAGAATGGGAGAGCGTGGACGTAATTTGACCGTCAATGTCAACGTTTGCTGAACTTTGGTGTCTCGAATATCATATCCGTGGCTATTCTGATACAGTTCAAGCATACACCCAGATTCTGTGAATTCAAGAACGGAGGAGCGTGGACGGAATTTGACCGTCAGCGTCAGCGATTGCTGAACTTCGGTGTCTCGAATATCATATCCGTGGCTATTCTGATACAGTTCAAGTATACACCCACATTCTGTGAACGATAGAATGGGGGAGCGTGGACGGAATTTGACCGTCAATGTCAACGATTGCTGAACTTTGGTGTCTCGAATATCGTATCCGTGGCTGTTCTGATACAGTTCAAGTATACACCCAAATTCTGTGAACTACAGAGTGGAGGAGCGTGGACAGAGTTTGACCGTCAATGTCAACGATTGTTGAACTTCGGTGTCTCGAATATCATATCCATGGCTATTCCCATACAGTTCAAGTATACACCCAGATTCTGTGAACAATAGAGTGGGGGAGCGTGGACGGAATTTGACCGTCAATGTCAACGATTGATGTACTTCGGTGTCTCGAATATCATATCCGTGGCTATTCTGATACAGTTTAAGTATTCACCCAGATTCTGTGAACTATAGGGTGGGGGAGCGTGGACGGAATTTGACCGTCAATGTCAGCGATTACTGAACTTCGGTGTCTCGAATATCATATCCATGGCTATTCCCATACAGTTCAAGTATACATCCAGATTCTGTGAACTATAGAGTGGGGGAGCGTGGACGGAATTTGACCGTCAATGTCAACGATTGCTGAACTTCAGTGTCTCGAATATCATATTTGTGGCTATTCTGATACAGTTCAAGTATACACCCAGATTCTGTGAACTAAAGAACGGGGGAGCGTGGACAGAATTTTACCGTCAATGTCAACGATTGCTGAACTTCGGTGTCTCGAATATCATATCCGTGGCTATTCTGATACAGTTCAAGTATACACCGAGATTCTGTGAACTAAAGAATGGGGGAGCGTAGACGGAAGTTGACCGTCAATGTCAACGATTGCTGAACTTCGGTATCTCGAATATCATATCTATGGCTATTCTGATACCGTTCAAGTATACACCCAGACTTTATGAACTATAGAGTGGGGGAGCGTGGAGGGAATTTGACCGTCGATGTCAATGATTGCTGAACTTTGGTGTCTCGAATATCATATCCGTCGCTGTTCTGATACAGTTCAAGTATACACTCAGATTCTGTGAGCTAAAGAATGGGGGAGCGTGGACGCAATTTGACCGTCAATGCCAACGATTGCTGAACTTCGGTG